ACATGGCAGATTCAGGAAATGGGTTAGAAATGTTTACACGAGTGTGCTCTAATGGAATCCCTACCAGAAATGATCAGCTCTGGCACGTTTAATATACTCTCTGCATAGGGTTCCATATGATACATGTAACTATGTTCGGTCAAGTTTTTGTTTTAGTTTGTTTTAGTTTGTTCTAGTCTTAGTTTTTTATTTTTTATTTTTATTTAGTGCTTTAGTACTTTTGGACCTTTGTAGAACCTAATGGCATCGTTGAATAAGCAATAATATGTAATTTCTGCATTAACGGCTGTGATATTTTCATGCTCAATGTAATGTACAGTGTGTTGTATGTCGAATCAAAATAAAATGTTTAAACAAACCCCTCTCAGTTTTATTAATGATCTGTGTCCCATTGAGGGGATTTACCTTTCCTTCCAGTCCTGTAGTCACGTCACAAGAAGTGAGAAAAAGTCTACCCAGTAAAAGGTAAATCACCAGTGCAACTGAGTGAAGTATGACAGGGGCATACAGTATATCAAATCACTGTTAATGTCGAGGTGAGTGTTTCATTTTCGGAGGCTGGCTGCCTACTCTGCACAGTGCACTCAGCAGGGTTGCTTAACCAGTTGCCGTCCGCCCGTTGTAAAAAAACGGATGGACGGCGCTGCTGCATTGGCGGGTTGCCGTCTCCAGACGGCATTTTTTATCTGCTCGTGCGAGCCCACTAGCGGGCGCACACGGGCAGGAAAGACCCATAATACCACCAAAAGAAAGCTCTATCTGTCCCCAAAAAATGGTATAAAATTCATTTCAGTACAGCGCTGCATGACAGAATAAATGTCAGTCAAAGTACTGCAGCGCTGAATACTGAAAAATTGCCTGGATGGGAAGGGGGTTTAACACTGCGGATGTCAACTGGTTAAAGAATCTTCATATCCAACATATTTCTGGTCTGGGAAACAAAAGCAACACAGAGCGCCTCCATAGTGTAAAACTTTTATTTGATGAGTACAACACGCAAGTGAAAATGTACTTACACGAAAGCCAATGATCATAAGCGTAAAAGGAAACTATAAAATATTCTATCTATTCTATTCTAGACCTCAGGTTCTGATGAAGGGGGCGTGCCCCTGAAACGCGTAGACCTTTTTAAAAAACATACGGGAGCAGAGGACGCTGATTTGGAGATCCCCTCAGACTTCCCCTGCTGGAGATTTTATATTTTATCGTTTCCTTTTAAGCTTATGATCATTGGCTTTCGTGTAAGTACATTTTCACTTGCGTGTTGTACTCATCAAATAAAAGTTTTACACTATGGAGGCGCTCTGTGTTGCTTTTGTTTCCCAGATCGCTGGTCGTTGTTGACCGGTGGGAGCGCTCTGTGTTGCTTTTGTTTCCCAGATCGATGGTCGTTGTTGACCGGTGGGAGCTGCCTCTATGGTGTACCAATGAACTTTACAGCCGGATTTCTCTGCAAACCGGGGGCGCCGGTATTGCTCTTTTCAATATTTCTGGTCTGTTGGATGCCTGTGTCCTCCGCCATATAAGTTACAGTACTTTGGTTATCTGAACGCACTGAGCGCCATCTCTGAGCATCATCTTCATTGACGCTCAGGGAGTTCAGCCGATTCCACTACACCGCGGCCCCTTTGTCCCCAATTGCAGCCTCCCGTGCATTCATCCTGCGGATACCGCACACTGCGGTTGCGGCCATGCCTGGCCAGCTCAGTCCGCACAGCCCCAGCATCTGACTATTCTTGCCAGCCAAAGACCATCCAGGCACGCACCCATCCACCCCACTGTCACTTCACCCTGTACCCTGGTTAATTCACGTTCTACACAGGGATTACAGAGGACCTTCTCCTGAGACACAAGGACACCTCAAGCGTGAGTTTATCTATACAGTAGTAGCGCTCTAAAAATCATTTGTGTATAGTACTTTGGTTTTAGTGGCTGAACACCAAGCATTTTATATCAGCATAATGTGCAACCTAAACATTACAAACATTACAGTGACATATAACACAGGCATTTAGGCATAATAGCTTATATTGGGGTGTCATGCTACCCTCCCAGTCTGTGGGTCCCTCCTTGAGAGAGATCTCCTGAGAGAAGAGACCTGCACCCTAGTAATGTGTATGGTATAGTCCAGGCATTCCTCTTAGGAGGGATGTAATTATTCTTACCTCCCTAAGCAGAAGAAGTCCATATGCTTACCACTCAAGGGGAACCTCGAGTGTAGAGGCCTCTTGGCTTCATTGCCTCGTGATCCAGGCTTGAGTCTTCCCACAGAAAAGACTCCCAAACCCACTCGCCTACATCCTTATATAACCAATGAGTAGTCTCTCTGACTGGCAACTGGTGTCCTATTAAAGGGCTGCTACAATACATTACACTATTACACTACTGCTACACTGCATCTTGTGGTGACTTGGGGAACTATATCAGGGCACTCTCCTACACTGTCATATTAATAATTCGGGTATACTGCTGCATAAGATTCAATTTAAAATTCAAACACTGCTTTTAAATCTTGCAACAAAGTTTCACAAACCCACGCAAACACAAATGTCTGTATGACCTATAGTTGACAACTGTCCCGGATTCGCCAGGACAGTCCCTGGTTATGGTGGTCAGTGTAGAATCCCCCTTAGGTTGGTGGTCAGTGTAGTATTGCTCCTTACATTGATGGTCAGTGTAGATGCTCTCCTTACATTGGTGGTCAGTCGGGTACTGCATCTTTAATTAGTGGTCAGTGTAGAATCCCCCTTAGATTGGTGGTCAGTGTAGTATTGCCCCTTACTTTGGTGGTCAGTGTAGAATCTCCCCTTACATTGGTGGTCAGTGTAGAATAACCCTTTAGATTGGTGGTCAGTGTAGCATTTCCCCTTACATTGGTGGTCAGTGTAGAATCCCCCCTTACATTGGTGGTCAGTGTACAATCCCCCTTAGATTGGTGGTCAGTGTAGAACCCCCTTATATTGGTGTTCAATGTAGAATCCCCCCTTATATAGATGGTCAGTGTAGAATCCCCCCTTATAATGGTGGTCAGTGTAGAATCCCCCCTTATAATGGTGGTCAGTGTAAAATCCCCCCTTACATTGGTAGTCAGTGTATTATTGACCCTTATATTGGTGGTCAGAGAAGAATCTTATATTGGTGGTCAACAGGGCCAGTGCTAGGATTTTTGCCTAGACAGGCAAAGTTGCATTTTTGTGCCCGCCCCCCTTAGATTGGTGGTCAGTGTAGAATCCCCCCTTATATTGGTGGTCAGTGTAGAATCCCCCCTTATAGTGGGGGTCAGTGAAGAATCCCCCCTTATATTGGTCGTCAGTGTAGAATCATGGTCATACACTGTACAACCAATAGTCTTGCGATGGTTGTAAAGTGATTAAAAAAACGTACGATCTGCCCATCTTGGGCAGGCAGATCGTACTCTCGATCATCCAAAGGCGGCCCCCTGGGGGGCGGGCTTCCGATGACCGCAATGCTGAACGGGCAGTGTGCGCATGCGCACACTGGCCCGTTCGGCATTTGTCTCCCGAGCACCGTTCAAACCAGCCGAAAATCATACGATTCTCAGCTGGTTTTCTAGCGTGCTCCTTAGACAAAAGACGTGCGACCGTACAGTAGAAATGGTCGCACGTCTTCGTTCACACTGCTTGATTCTCGTACGATCGCGGGATTTCCGCGATTCTCGTACGAGAATCAAGCAGTGTATGGGCACCTTTAGACAGGCGTCCATTTACACCATTAACCCCGTCTCCGGCCAGGTCTGGAAAAACAGACGGATCAGAGATCCTTTTTCACTGGAATCAGGGGGAATCTGATTTAAAGGGACACATGTCTGTTTACATACGACTCCCCGTAGACACACTTGGGGTCCAGTAATTGCAGTTTTTTCCCTCCAATTCAAGGTGGGGGGACACTGATGTCACAGCGATGACATCTGCTTTGTACGGCTGTGATCAGGAAAGGCTCTGTGCACGGATCCACTCGTGATCAGCACGTGTGAAAGGGGCCTTAAAGTTGTAGCTAGTTGAGGGGGCGTGGCCAACCATGGAGGAGTAAAGCCGCACGGATTTGAGCTCTGCCGATCCGGGGCCGTTAATCAGTGGACTTCTCCCCCCCCCCCTATTGTATTGTTGTTCTGCTTCTAACTACTTTGTCACATGAATACATGTTTCCTTTGTTTTGTTTTGAAAATCTCTAATAAAATCTGATTGCACCAAAGTTGTAGCTAGTTGAATGAATACATAAATCATTTTATCCCGTATTGTCTGTATTTATGTCCTTTTTAATAAAATCTCCTGTGTATATAGTATTTGTTATAGTATATAGAGTGTATATATAGTATTTGTTATAGTATATAGAGTGTATATATAGTATTTGTTATAGTATATACAGTGTATATATAGTATTTTTTGAATTCAATTGTACAATATACCTCACCCTTTTTTACATAAATGCCCTTCCCCTAAATAAAGGTATCCCTGGAAATGTTTGGGAAGTGTTGGCAAGTATGAGAAGGTGGCTTCAGCTGTGTACAGAATGGTGGTAATCGGCTGAGATCCTGACAGGGGTGAGCTATCATAATAGGAGCACAGGCAGAATTCTGCACATGAATGGATGGCACGGATGTGGCTATTATGGCAGGCAGCACGTGACTGTTAAGTAAGTGGCAGGCAGAGGGTTAAGAAGCCTGTTGTGTGTTTTGTAAGAGGAGTGAATGTGCTGTGTCATTAGACAGGTGGGAGGAGAGACATGCAGGCTACCCGCCCCGGGGAGGGGGGACATTCAGCCAGAGGGACATCGTGATGATGGCTGAGAGATCACAGAGAGCTGCACTTTCCTCATTGCCTGGGGGGAGAGGCTGGAGCTATGTGAAGATGTGATGCCCACATTTCTCGATCTACCACTATCTGCATTGTGAGAATGTGGAAATAATGCTGTGTTGTGTAACTGAATGAAAGGCTGCACCCTTCCCCTTCTCACAATCCTTCATCTTCTTAGTGCTGACTACATGATGCAGTCCTGGTGATCAGATCTTCTTTTACCCCTAGTCCAAGGGTAGGTCTTCTGTAACAGCCCCTCCAACACCAATCCAGCCATGCTTGATTATGACCAGTCAATCTCCTTCCTGGGAGAGTGGGGTCCCTACCAGCTTATCATCTTCTTCCTTCTTAGTGCCAGCACCATTCCCAATGGTTTCAATGGCATGTCTGTGATGTTCCTGGCTGCCACCCCTGAACACCGGTGCAGTGTGCCGGACAGTGCCAACCTGAGCCTGGCTTGGAGGAATGTCAGCATCCCCTGGGAAGAGAAGGATGGAGTTCTGGTACAGAGCAGGTGCTGGAGGTACAAGCTAGACACCCTGAGGAGCTTCTCTGATCAGGGACTCCTTCCTGGGCTGCATGTCAATGTCAGTGACTTGGAGAAGGAGAAGTGCCTGGATGGATGGGACTATGACAGGGACATCTATCACTCCACTGTTATCACCGAGGTAAGTGTGTGTCAGTCTACATTTTCTGTACTTGTCACTCTGTACTAGTAGAGATAGTCAATCATCTTCATCGTCTTGATTAACCATTTGATTTTAACATTTGTTCACAGTCTTCTAAACCATATTCAACTATTATATATGTAATACTTGGTGATTTTGTCATGAAGGTTTTTGTTCAGGCACTTTCCGGTTATGGGGTAACAAGTTGTGCTCCTGCTTTGTCACCTTATATGCCCCCTGGTTGAGACAATAAAGCGGCAGTGCCAGCACGCATTGCAAATACATGAACCCACCGTTGTCACTACGAAGGATGCCTGCCCTAAACAATAATGTACAGCCAACACTGAAGTACATACAGGAAGCTGCTGAAATAAGCTTGAGGAGATCAGCAACACAGAGATTCATAAACAAAACATAATATGGTGAAAGAAAGCCTATGGCATCTATGTATGATAGATAGGTCTTCAGCCAACACTTGTTGAATGAGTTAGGGATTAGATATAAGCCAACTATTAATAGGAAGCATGCACACTTTGGTTTCTATTGAAACGTTGTATTGCAATGCCACATGAGTTCCTGCTGATTTGTAATCAGTTCAGGGAGAAAACTGTTTGTTTAACATTACGTGTATGCTTACACTATGCTAGGGGTAGACAACCTCGGCACACCAGCTGTGGGGAAACTACAAATCCCATCATGCTATTGCTTATGGGAATCATACCTGTAGCTGTCAGAGTCTTGCAATGCCTCATGGGAATTGCAGTTCTACAGCAGCTGGAGTACAGAGGTTGCCCACCCCTTCATAATAATATTTCAACCTTTGAAGTACAGTGCTGTGAATGTCTGGTTTCATACACCCTAACTGTTATGCTTTTTGTGGTGCAAATGTAACTCTGTTAACAGTGGGAATTGTTTCATGCATTCAATCAGTTTGCAGAAAAAGTGACATGTTACACGGTGCTTTGCAGAGAACACTGCATAGGAAGTTTCTACTTCCTGCTGTTACTGTAATCCAATGTCTCTTCTATGGTTCTATTGTACATGTCCTATTAGGTCCAATGTTGGCCAGAACTGAATTAAGCTATTGGCATGGTAAATCTACACAAACATCAGTAGATATTTGGATATTTCCATTCCTATCTTGAAACAGCTAAGTCTTTGACATCATAACATAAAGAAAACTCACGTATTTTTAATAAATTCAACCTCGAAGAGGACCGGTTGCCAACAGCAGAGGAGGACATGGAGGGCAGCGCTGGAGTGCAGAAAAGGTGAGTAGTGCTTAATAAATTTAATTTGCACCTGGAGTTGGCCTTTGAAGTAAATATAAACTTTAAATACCAATTGCAATGTGTGCCAGTCACAACCCAGAAGAACAATTGGGAGAAAGGGACAGAGAGGGGATTTTATCAAACCTGGAGCAGACAAAAGCTGGAGCAGTTGCTCATTGCAACCAATCAGCTTCCTTCTTTCATTTTCAAAGCTCAACTGAAAAAACTGAAGAGCAAAGCTGACTCTTTACATACAGTGTTATTCAGAAATCCCTTAAAGGAGAACTATGGGGTCAGGGCTTTTCCCCATAGTTCTCCTAAGGGCAGCGGGAGGACACAAACTAACATCCCTCCCTTTGGGTGTCCTCCCGTCACCCAAAGCTCAGTAGCTCGCAGCGCAGCCCGGACGGATCCCGACATTACTGTCTGGATCCACCCAGCTGCGTGAGTAACAGCTGGCTCTGCCTATCTAGAGGCAGAGCCAGCTGTACCTGCCCCCTCCCCGTCCGGTCCGCCAGTCAGCGCTGGAGGATCGGACGGGGGAGAAACCCTGCAGGGAGCCATGAGTGACTGTCAAGGCTCACTGCAGGGACAGGATCGAGAAGTGAGCGAGCGATGGTATGTGTTCGCTCACTTCCCGATCTATTGAGCCGACCTGTGACAATTTCATTGTCACAGGTCGGCTAGAACTATGAGGATGAGTGATTTTCTCTAAATTGTCCCTGTCTCTAAACTATTGCAAGCTTGCAGGGAACCTCCCGGATGGCAGCTGAATACCCCTTATGTGCTCAGCTGACTTCATTTGAATGGCACCCCAATTGCACCTCCTGACTACAATGCATTCAACTGCAATGCACGGTACTGCAAAACACATACGGTGTGGTTGAAAATAGTGCATGCGTAAGCGTGCGATTAACATACCACATTGGTGTGAACGGGCCCTCAGAGTGCCCCTTTATAGTACTGTCCTTAGTCCTATAGTACTGTGAGTTACAGACATGGCTACCATGAATAATGTAAAAGTTTCCACTCAAATTCAATACAGGGCTGGACCACATCAGGCAAAACTTTGGAGCTAAAGAGCGGCACTACAGAGCCCATGTATATCTGCTTCTACTGACAGAAAAGGCTGTTGGGTCCATCGACAACCCCACATCTAAAATTAGCATTAACTCTTACAACACAATGCTAACGGAAGCAGACATTTTAAACCATAATCTGCAAAGTCCAGAGCTTGGTATCTGGTGGAGTCGGGAGGCAGAGCAGGGAGCCAAGAGTCAAAGCCATGGGGTAGAGCTGGGAGGAGCCAGTGTGGAACTGGGAGGTGAAGATGGGTCCTAGAGGCCGAGAGGCATAGCTGGCTATGGGCGGCTTAAGAAGATGGAGAATACTCTTCCATCCTCCTTCAGTGCTCAGCGGCAAACAGAGTGACATCATTGGATGCTAGAAACGCTCCGGTTCTCGCACCCAATGGCTACACAGGAGGACATCGGGTTCATTGGAACAGCTACTCGCTCCATGTCCAGACCGCGGTCCCCCATTTGTGGAACCCTGCTTTAAGAGCTGCTCACAAGGACTTCTAGAATGCGTGGCAGTTTGGAGGTATTTTAATGTCACAAATACGGACGCAATTACTGTGCAGTTAAGAAATGATGCGGAATGTCGCAAAGTATGTGCAGTGAGTCACAAACATGAATATGTCACAAGAACACTTTGAAAAAGAAGTAAACAGAGATAAAACTTTGCAGTTAGTTGGCATGACATTTTGGTCTTTGCAACAAAAAAGTTTGTTACAAGCACATTCATAAATTCGCCCTATTGCATTTTTTTTTAAAGGAGAACTATGGGGTTAGGATTTTGCCCCATAGTTCTGCTTAGGGTAACGGGAGGACACAAACTAGCGTCCTCCCGTCACCCTAGGCTCAGTATACCGCGAGCTGTTGCTCGCGGTATACTGAGACGCCGCAGCTGAAGCTGAACCCGACAATTATACCGGGATCCGCCCAGCTGCGTGACTGACAGCTGGCTCTGCCTATCTAGAGGCTGAGCCAGCTGTACCCTCCCCACGTCTGTTCTGCCAATTCGCGCTGGCGGAGGGGGGAATCCAGCCCCTCCCCTGTCATGGCAGAGAGCCGTGACAAGATCGAGAGGTGAGCGAGCGCCGGTATGTGTTCGCTCACCTCCCGATCTACTGAGCCGACCTGTGACAGTCTCCTTGTCACAGGTCGGCTAGAACTATAAGGTGAGTGAAAAACACTCACCTCATAGTTCTCCTTTAAGTAAGGTTTAATATCACTTTAACCAGTGTCCCAGCCAGCTGGGGAAAACTCTAGTTGTATCCCATTACAGAAAGGATACAGCACACAAAACCAACAAAACCTGAAATACAGACACTTGGGTTTGTGCACATGCTGTGGCAAATTTTAAACAGCGTGTCGCATGCTGCAGGCACTGTTTGCCAAACGCGACCATTGTGGTCAATGGAACCATATCAGAGCTGTGCGCCAAGCTTGGCATGCAGATTTGACACAGTATTGCAATGCAAAATTCTTTGTGGGATAAAAAAAAAGACATTCAGGAGGCGGCCTCTCAACGCCTAAAACCGGACACTCAACTGCGCTCTGAAAAGTGATTCACCACGGATCATTTTTATAAGCTGTTAAATCTGCCACCCTTGTGAAAGAGGCCCTAATTAGGCACCGCAGCTCTGATCCTCCTCAGCTCTCTTTTAATGTTATATAGGCAATAAACCTTTCAGCAAAAGTCAGTGGAACAGCTGAGAGAAAAGAAGACAAATCACCTCCACATAGCGGATCAACAATCAGCCTGCTTACACAGGAGAGTGCTTCACAGCACTAGTAACTTGAGGCTTGACAAACAGTAATAATCCCTCACCTTCCTTTCTTCATATCATCATGGGATACACAAAGTAGCTCGGCTAGACATCTTTCCCCAATCAAGTCAAAGGCAGACTACTGTGTGTAAAGCTCCTGTTTATTGTGCAGGTGTTAACATAGCACTAGTCACATGTGTGATATCTTAATTTCACGAAATCTTGCATGAAATTTACTAGTAGTATGCAGCGCTACCCCCTGAGGAGCCGCAGAGAATAATCGGGTCTTCCATAGCCATAGTCTGATTTTGGCAACGTCACGGCCGCGTCTGCCCAGTTGTTATTCATTGGCCGGGACCTGCTAGAAGACAAGCAGGTGCCGGCCAATAGGAAACAGTTGGGCGGAGCTAGCTGTCACCAATTATTGTTTTTTTTTTCTTTGCTTTAAAATATCTTTCTTTTTTTTAATTTGACTATTTGTTTACATTTTTTTTACAGATTTGTTCAGCTATTTTTATTTTTCCTTTCTTTTCACTTATTTTCTATTCAGTGCCGCTCAGCAGCATTCTGCTATTCACTCACTGCCATTCAGGGGTGAACGGCAGCTAGTGAGCTGCAGCTCAACCAATCCAGATGTTGGATCGACTGAGTCGAAGTCCTTCTGCACTTCGGCTCACCCGAACATGCGGAGCATGTTAGGCTGACCGAAGACAGCCGAAGGCAGCCAATGTACGGCTGATTCCAGCCGATGTACGCTGAAATCAGCCGTACTGAGCCGGAGTGAATAGCCGAACGTCGTTCAGCTACTTCACTACGGCTGGGTTATTCTCTCAGCTGCCTGCGGCAGCTTTGTGCTTGGCCCCCCTAGTAACTGTTGTGTGTGTTTTATTCGTATT